CCCGGGGAGCCCGGCAGGGCGTGGGCGGAGTGGGAGTAGCCAGGAGGGGCATAAGCGGACTGCTCGTATTTCCCCCCGAACTGGGGCTGCTGCCGAGCCGCACTGTTCATCTGGAAGGGAAAGAGGGACAGGGATGCTCGGTTTGGTACACTGCCTGCCCGCTGCAGTGCTTGAACCAAACCTGGGCTGCACTCTAACTCACGCTGCAAATACCAGAACGGAACACAACCGTTACCCACAGCTGGACTCCCAGAGCCCCCCCAGCTGGCCCCCTCTCTACCAGCAGCTTCAAATCTTCTGGAATTGTCATTTCAGCATTCCAAAAGCATATTCCCACAACCTGTGCCTGTGAGTGTGAGCACGTACCACCGCTTGTCTCTGCAGGCTTGACGAGAACCCCGGTGAGGCCATGCTATCTGGAACCCTCTCATACCTGCAGGGAAAACAGATCAGGAGTTTCAGCCTTAAACACACAACTGCTGCAGTCCAAGGGGCATCTGCATCCCACTGGTGTTCCCTCCACAGGAAAGAAACACAAAATTGCACTTGGAAGTAGCCAGAACATGGTGATCATGCAATGTGTGTCTCCATTCCACACTCCTGTGCTGGTGAGACTCATACCTGCTGCTGTTGGATGCTGGATGAGGCATTCCAGGATGGTTGGTGCCAGCAGCTCCGAGCTGGGAACAGGATGGATTGGTATCCTGGGCAGCATGACTGCTCCCTGGGGAAAGACAAATATTTCAGAATATCCACAAGTACCACTTGGTTGTGAAGTGAACTTGCAGAACATCAACATGTTTTGAATTTGCTTTCAAGTTTCCACATATTTAATTGGCTCTGATATTCTGTCAGTGATCTGTAAAAGCACATGGTCCAGTTACCAAAATAAGGCACTGCAACTGTCTTAATTCCCACCAGAAAGAGCAGAGATATTGTAGCCAATGTGTCTCATTTAACAACTGTCAGATGAGGTTTTTAATGCTCGTGTGATAATTTAGAACAGATCTTAGAGGTGCTGCAGGAATAGCCGATAAAAACACAAAGAGAAAGCTCAGCCGAGGGCTTGCAGCGGCCATGAGGGACGGGAGGTGCCCGGTGGAAGCTCCGGGACAGGAGGGTGTGAGGGGTGCAGAGCTGGCAGATGAGGGACGCCCTGGTGAGAGGCTCCTGCGATTTACCCGATTAGCTGTGATCCTGCTACAGGCTCGGGCAGCTGGCAGCGGTTCCCTTTCCCTCTGGAAAAGTGGTTAAATCCCTGCGGTACCTGATCGGAACTGGATGCGCATGGGCCGCCCGTACAGCTTGATCCCGTTGAGCAGCCGCAGCCCGTACGGCACCGACTCCTCGTGCTTGAAATTCACGAAGGCGAACTGCTTGGGCCGTCCATCCCGGTCCTTCGGGATCTTCACGGTGATCACGGGGCCCGCCTGCCATCGGGAGCGAAAGCGTTAAGCAAACAC